AGGAAGGAAGGAAGGAAGAAGGAAGGAAGGAAGGAAGGAAGGAAGGAAGGAAGGAAGGAAGGAAGGAAGGAAGGAAAAGGAAGAAAGGAAGGAAACAGTGTAGAACTTTGAAAGAACTTTTTTGGTATAGTTGCCATAAAGTCAGAAGCTCCATCCAGGGCCTCTGTCCAAGGTCTGTGACATCCCATCTGCACACAGACTCCATTAGAGATGCTCACAGAGTCATTCACAAAAGCTGGAAAGGAAAGCCGTTCAGATGTACATCAGCTGGTGAGCAGATACACAAACGTGGTATTGTCCACAAATAGGAAACCTGTTTGGGTATAAAAAGGGATATAATATTGCACTTGCTAAAATGAATGGATCTCAAAGACATGCTTACAGTGAAATTAGTCAGTAACAAAAGCCAAAAACAAGAGTGTGTGATTCTACCTTGATGAAGCACTTAGAAAAGGCACACCTGTAGAGGCAGGTGATGGGTGGATGTGGCCCAGAGCTGAGTTTGGAAGCTGGGAGTGACCATAAATAGACACTAGTCTTTTGAAAGGTTTCTAAAGTTATGTTGCTGTTATCATTAATTAACTCTGCAAATATTAAAAAAGAAAATCCTCATTAAATAGTATACTTGATGACCTTTCTGATAAGTAAAGTGTGCATCAATAAAGCTATGACTTCAAAAGAAACACGAGAAAGACATAACTTACTGAATTCGGAAAATAAAGATACACTCTGTGTTAAATTTTTTTCTGCGGGGGGCCAGAGACAGTAAGCTCCAGGCCAGCTTGGGTTACATACAAAGTTTCAGGATAGTCTGGGCTCTGAAGCAGGTTTGTTTTGTGAACCCTGTCACAAAAACAAACAGGAAAAAATTAAAACACTCTTTTTCCTATCAGGAGCAATTGAGATATTTGCTACCCAAATAAACCATGCAGGAAGATACACTTGTCTTGCTAGAAATGCAGCTGGATCAGCGCACCGGCATGTAACCCTTCATGTCCAAGGTACGGAAGGTTGTTTGTTCACTAAAATCTTGCTGGGTGGGTGGAGTTCTTCTCTAGCACGTGCAAAGCCTGGGGCTTACCCCAAGCACCACACACTAAAAGTTTATTGATCTTTGAGGTAGGTATAATTATTTATTTGTGACTTTATAGTCACATTTATTTTTAAAAGATGGTATTATGTCATAGAAATGCCTTAGGAATATGTAAACATATTGCTCAATAGATGAAAATTACACATGGTTGACAAACCACACAGAACAACCTAAAAAATGTGTTTCTTCTCTGGTTTTTGTGTTCTCTTTCAACAATGGTTTTTCCGTCAGAGTTCTTTTACTACAGCTGCTCTATAGTGGGATTGAAAGAAGGTAAGAAGGCCAGTCATAGATTTTCTCTTGTACAATCAGCTCCCTGGTGTGTGGGGACTGCAGATCATAAGAAGGCAAGTCATAGATTTTCTCTTGCACAATCAACTCCCTGGTGTGTGGGGACTGCAGATTTACCACATTAGTGCTCTTCACTGTAGCAGGCCATTCTGCTTTATAATAAGCAGTGCTATTCTTTTTGTTGGTGGTCTTTTGCAGACCCTCCAGTCATTCAGCCCCAGCCAAGTGAACTGGATGTCATTCTAAACAACCCCATCTTACTTCCATGTGAAGCAACAGGAATACCCAGTCCATTCATTACTTGGCAAAAAGAAGGCATCAATGTCATTGCCTCAGGTACCTACCATGGTTTTAATGTAGATCACTGCAGCATATTCAGTGCTTTGTAATAAAGAAATCTGTATGACTTTTTATAGAGTGAAAATAAAATTTCTTTTTGCTCTGCTTTTGACTATCGTGTAGGCAAAAGCCTTGCTGTTCTTCCTAGTGGCAGCTTGCAGATCTCCAGAGCTGTTCGAGAGGATGCTGGTACTTACATGTGTGTGGCTCAGAACCCTGCTGGTACAGCCTTGGGCAAAATCAAGCTGAATGTACAAGGTACTTGAATGATTCATCCTCTTTATCCTCAAAGATGTGTGTAGTGATATCTACCAATAGTTCATATGTAATTATTATGCTTGCCCCTTCCCACAGCTATCTTTACTCTTAGATTGTAGTATCTTACCTTTTCCCCTAGAACCTTCCTATAGATTGTATAACATGTTCTTTTCACACTGTATGAGAAAACTTGGACCTCCATCCTGCTTTTAAACTTCTATGAAACTCTACTGGATACCATAGCCACTTCCTTATGGCTTCGCTTTCTGTGACTTTAGTTACTCATAGTTAAATGTGGTTTTTAAATATGAAATGGAATATCCTAGAAAGGAATAGCCTGTAAGTTTTCAATTCTTTTGAAGAGTGCAATAAAACATTCCCTTCGATGTGAAATATAAGTCTTACTAGTATATCCTTGCTTCATAAACTGAGTCTCCCCACCCAGCATCAGATGGCCTGTCACAGGAGTTAGCACTTGTGATTAGGCCCCGTTTTTTACTTCAAGGCAGCCTCAACCACAAAAGTTGTAGTATTGACCATTCACATATGCCACCCAAACGGAACGGTATTTGCTGTGAGTGAAAAATGCTAAAGAACAGTCTGACATTTTAAGAAAGAATGGACATCAAAAGACCACAGCCAGGCGGTGTATCAATTGTCCTACTTTGTCTTGGGCCATTATTAACCTCTTACTGCACCCAAGTTACAAATTAAACTTTGTCATAAGCATATATATATATATATATATATATATATATATATATATATGGAAAACATAGTGTGTGTGGAATTCTGTAGTATCATCCATTTCAGACATCCACTGAGGGTCTTACAATATATCTACTAGGAAAGTGGAACAAATGTGTTTGTTCTTGTTCATGGTAGCATATACAGTAAGATTGTTTTTAGGTTTATTTCATTTTTTTTGTGTGTATGTGTGTGTGTGTGTGTGTCTGTCTCTGTCTGTTTGTCTGTCTGTGGGTATGTGCACATGAGTACTGATGCCTACAGAAGCCAGGAGTTACAGAAACTTGTGAGCAGTTCAATGTGGGTGCTGGGAACTGAATTCTGGTCCTCTGCAAGAGCAGCAAATGCCCTTAACCATCAAGGTCATTTATCTAGTCCTTTTAACAGGATTTTGAACAATAAAAACAACCTGAAGCTATTGAGATGGCACTGAATTAAAGGTGCTTGTCACCAAGCCTGATGACTTGAGTTTGATGCCTTGGAGCACATTATGGAAGGAGAAAACTCATTCCCACAATTTGTTCTCTGAGCTCCACACATGAGTTGTGTAATATGAGTGCATGCACACAGAAAGAAATGATCATAACAGAATTTTTAAATTATAATAAAGCTCTACATTACTACTTTGGTTACACTATGAAATATGTGTAATATCCACTTTAATAACCACAACCACAACTGAACTAACTTGATGAAAAAGCAGGGATTGTGTATTAGTGTGTGTGTGTTTGTGTGTGTGTGTGTGAGAGAGAGAGAGAGAGAGAGAGAGAGAGAGAGAGAGAGAGAGAGAGGAGGGAGGGAGACAGCTTCATGATATAATTTCTATATCTTGAATGGAGAACTTTCTAGAATATGAAGTAAAATGGTAATAGGTTTCAAGATACTGAATTTAAATGAATTAATACTGAATTTCCTCAAGTGTGGTTTTTCCTATAGATAATTAACAGACACATGAAGCTCACATTCCTGTTGTTTGAAATCTTAATCTCTTCATCATTTCCAGTGTGTATTCAACACCCATAACTGGAAGTACACTAAACATTGCAGACATATGTCTTCTCTTAGGCTTGTTGTGTGAGCAGAGAAGGAAACATAAACCACTTATAAGTGAAATGATGATTAATTCTGGTCAGTGCTGTACAAAAGAAAACAAAAGACTGAAATGATGAATAATGGAAATAAGATAAATTGGGCCATGTTATTAGGTCAGTGGTTAGGAGGCTACTTTTTGGGGTAAAGGGTGAGATAACAGACCAACAATGAATAAAGACAAGCCATCTTGCTAAAGTGTCCATGCTGGTGTTACCAGACATTAGCAAGCAAGGATAGGACAGAAAAGCATGAAGGAGAGTAGACCTAGGCAGGGCCATTGTTGAAGGACCAGACACACTGTAATGGAGTTGGTTTTCATTCTCTGCACAATGGGAAGGGTGTAGCCAGGATTGTGGTTTGGTGTGGACTAGACATTTTTGGGTGCTGTGTAGAAAATACCTTTGAGGACAGGAAAGAATGGATGGGAAATAATGGAGCTAGAAGAGTGTTAGATTTGTCTAGTCAAAGGACCATGATATGAGACAGGGAGGCAGGCTATGAACTGCCCAAGAGTTAGGAAAAATCACTGATTAAAGATGTCTTGGCCGGGCGTTGGTGGCGCACGCCTTTAATCCCAGCACTCGGGAGGCAGAGGCAGGCGGATCTCTTGAGTTCGAGGCCAGCCTGGGCTACCAAGTGAGATCCAGGAAAGGCGCAAAGCTACACAGAGAAACCCTGTCTCAAAAAACCAAAAAAAAAAAAAAAGATGTCTTTGAAGGTGTAAATGTCTTTGAAGGTGTAAAGACTGCTGATGCAGTTGAAGAATGGAAGAGACTTGTTTCCTGGGCTTCCAGTTTGAGCTTGAGGGACTGGAAGTGCCATGAGGGAACACTAGAAGGAAGTCATGGCTTCTGCTTAATCACATTGGATGCAGGAAACTTTTAAAACCCCTGATGCAAATGCCAGCTAGCACATTGACTAAGTATTAGAGTTCACGAAAGGTGTATAGTGTAAGATAAAAGCATAGATACAGTCAGTGTTATCCAACCCTAAGGAGAGAGCATGGACAGAGAAGGCTAAGGACAAAGTCCTGGGACAGTGCATTGCTTTGAACTCTGATAAAGGAGAATACACAAAGGAGCCAGAGGAAGTCTGGTTGGAGGCTGGAGGAGACGAAGCATCCCATAAATGGAAAGAGATAGTTGTAGACCTCAGAGGCTTGGGAAATTCTGGATAGGGTTCTCCTTGCAGATAGAGTGTGTAGTGGGAAGCACACATCCAGCCAGGAAATGCTAGGCACTCAGCACAGACGTTCGTAAGTATTCTGAGTCTTTTTTCGGTGGATGATTTAAGTCTTGGTAGAGAATCCTAAGCAGTGACTGGTTGTTGGAAATCCTTGGGAGAGAAATCCTTATCAGATCTGAAATGGGAAAAAATGTCCATACAGTTATTTTCTATAATCCATTTATCTGTGCATTCATTTGTAAATACTATACTGTGCTGAGGCACCATAATCAGCTCTCTGAAAAATGCATGGGTGAAAGTATCTTTGAGCAGTGTAGTATTTCACAAGGCTTGAGGAGTCCATTTTAGAAGTTTAAGTACTCAAAGTGAATCATGAAGTTTGTGTATGTTTAAATACTTCTCTAGACCCTCATGACTCTGAAATACTGTTCTGAATGAGATGCTTCCAAAACCTCATGAATCTATGCTTATCTCATTTAAAATTGACTACTGCCTACATTTGTTAGTTTATACAGACCAGTTTTCTGAAATAAGCTCATGAATTTTAATGTTCCAGACAAAACTAAACTGCAGTGCTCTATTCTGACCGTATAGACGATGTGGGGCTTTGCTTCCTCGAAGTGTTAATTTACAGCAGCAGGATCATAGGAGGTAATTTGTACACTCAGTTTGAACCTTCTGTCTTTTAGTTCCTCCAGCCATTAGTTCCCATCAAAAGGAATATGTTGTTGCTGTGGATAAACCTGTCTCCCTACTGTGTGACTCAGAGGGCTTCCCACCACCTGACATTACCTGGCATAAAGATGGGCAGGCACTTGCCGAATCCATCCGCCAGCGCATCCTGAACTCAGGTGCTCTGCAGATAGCATTTGCTCAGCCTGATGATGCTGGTCAGTACACATGCATGGCAGCTAATGCGGCGGGATCCAGCAGCGTGAGCACCACACTCACTGTCCATGGTAGGTGGTGTAACATGATTTATTTTCATCTGCTGTATCACTGTGGCGATGAGAAAAGATTGTCAAGAACAAATGTGATGGAAGTCAAAACCAGAGCGTGTGTGGAGAAGAGTGCCTGTGTGTTTGACTCTCAAGTCTGTGTTCCATAAGCTGTGTTTGCTGGTGTCTGCACACATCTGTGTGAGAGATGACATCAGCATTTCCAGGAAAATCAGTGTGTGGCCGACATCCCCTTCATGCTTCGACTGTTGGGGTTGTCTGACTTATGTGGTGACTTATGTGCATTCTGTGGCTCTTCCATTTCACTTCTTGAAGCTTCAAGTCATTTTAGCTCAAAAATAATCAGCATACAACCCAGATAATACAGGAGTTTGAACCTTATAAGAACTAAAAATTCATTTGATCCATTATTTTTAAGTAGCACCAACATTCAACTGTACGTTCTTTTTTCTTTACTTTGTATTAAGATATATAAAAAAATATCTAAAAATCAGCATTGATGAGCTGGAGAGATGGAGTAACTTTTTTTAATAAGCAATTTTTGTTTTTTACTTTATTAAAAATTTGTAAAATATTTTTCAAGTACATCTGACTCTGCCTCAACTTCATAGCAAGAATGATTATTTTATGTAGAATTCTTTTTAATTAAGTAATATACTCAAGTTAAAAATCATTTTTCATGAGTTTTCCAACTAACTTTCTCACTTTTAATTAATCTATTGAACTAGGGTTTATGCATTTAATCTTTAAGCAAAAAAGTTGGTCTTTCCAAAGATTTGTAGACATTTTATCAAAATTGTTCATGTTTCAGGTAACAACAAACCATTAATATATTTTTAAAATATAAGCCTTAATACCTGTGCACCAAGGTATACAATAAGGGCAGACATTTTTTAACGAACCATTAAAACCAAAACCCTAGTCATAGGTGACTGAAAAACAAAGAACACTTTTTCTAGCTAACAAGTAGGTTTGATATGTGGTTTATTTTCCAAATTATTTATAAACTGCTTCTAAAATGAGGCCTAGATATTAAAAGTACAAAGCTAATGTCACCTATAAAGTCATAGCCTTAATTTTTTATTTCTAACAATTAAAGAGCTAAAAGAAACCTACTATGAACAAGGTATGGTAGCACTGACCTGAAATTCGAGCACTTGAAAGCCTAGGCAACGGAATCAAGAGTTCAAATCCTTGACTACTAGTGAGTTTGAGACCAACTTGTGCTACAAGAGACCCGGTTTTATAAAACAACAGGAAAAATAAACAAGTATGTACCTGTAGCCCCTACCAGAGCAGGCCCCATACCCAGAAGAACTCAGCCAATACAAACTAGACTCCATGAAGTTGTTCTTCTTGCTGTTATTCTTCTTAGTTTTGATTTGTTTTATTTTTTTAGGTAGGAGAGAGCATGAAATTGGATGGGTAGACAGGTAGGAGAGAATCTAAGATGAGTTGGAAAAGGAGGGTGAATATGATTGAAATGTACTGCACAAGATTCCCAAAGAATAAATAAAACATAATTTTAAAATCAAATAGTGAATGACCTGCACAAGATAAAACCAGTTAAAATTCTAGCATGGGTGAGAAACAACTACTAAGCCCTGCCCCCAGATGAGGAGCCATTAGCAGTTGATGGCTGCTGGGAGAGGAAGTTAATTTTCTTGGGTGGGGTGCCCAGTGGTGGGTTGTCCATGCCCCAGTGAATGTCCATGTCCCCACATCCACACACTCATGGGCAGCAGTCATGAACTCAGTGAGTTAAAAAATAATAGTTAGATGAATTAGATAGATAGACAGACAGACAGACAGACAGACAGACAGACAGACAGACAGACAGACAGATAGATAGATAGATAGATAGATAGATAGATAGATAGATAAACAAGAGTGTAAGAGCCAGAGGGGATGGAGGTCACCAAGAAAACAAGACGTTTTAAATATAAACTCACAGAGACTGAGGCAGCATGCACACAGCCTGTATGGGTGTACACTAGGTCGTCTGCATATATATTCCGGCTTCCAGTTTAGTGGGTTTTTTGGGATTCCTGAGTGTGTGAATGAGTGGGTCTCTGACTCTCTTATGCTTTTTTCCTTTTGTTAGTTTGTTTTGTCCAATTCTGATGTGTTCATTTTTGTTTTATCTTTGTATTTTATTTTATTTTACCTCTTAGAGTACTGTTTATTTTCTAATGAGAGACAGAAAGGGAGTGAGTTCAGATGGGAAGGGAGGTGAGGAGGACCTGGAAGGAGTAGAGGGAGGGGAAACCATAATCAAGATATATTATGTGAAAAAAATTGATTCAATAAAAGGAAATAAAAAGAACATAAAGTTTGGAGGGAGATGTGCTGGGGAAATTTTGGAAGGAGTTGTACAGGGGGTGAAGAATGGACCCAATTAAGATACATTGTATGCATGTATGAAATTTCCTTTTTTTTTTTTTTTTTTTTTGGTTTTTCGAGACAGGGTTTCTCTGTGTAGCTTTGCGCCTTTCCTGGAACTCGCTTTAGAGACCAGGCTGGCCTCGAACTCACAGAGATCCGCCTGGCTCTGCCTCCCGAGTGCTGGGATTAAAGGCGTGCGCCACCACCGCCCGGCCCAAAATTTCCTTTTTTTTAATTTAAGAAAAATTTTATTCATTTTACATACCAACCACAGATCCCCCTCTCATTTCTCCTCCTGCTCCTACCCCTCGCCTCCTCCCCTGGCCCACCCTCTCATTCCTTCCTCCAAAAGGGTAAGGGCTCTCATGGGGGGACAGCAAAGCCTAGAACATTCTGTTGAGGCAGGACCAATCCCCTCCCCCCTGCATCAAGGGTGAGCAAGGTGTCTGACCATAAGTAATGGGATTCAGAAAGCCAGCTCATGTACTAGGGATAGATCCTGATCCCACTGCTAGGGAATCCTCAAACACACCCAGCTACACAACTGTCTCCCATATGCAGAGGGTATGGTTCAGTCCCATGCAAGTTCACAGCTCTTGGTCTAAAGTTCATGAGTTCCTATGAGCTTAGTTCAATTGTCACTTTTTCTTTTCTTTTTTTTTAATTATTTATTTTTATTTTATGTACATTGGTGTTTTGCCTGCATGTGTGAGGGTGTCAGATCTCTGAAACAGGAGTTACAGACAGTTGTGAGCTGCCACGTGGGTGCTGGGAATTGAACCCGGGTCCTCTAGAAGAGCAGTCAGTGCTCTTAACCCCTGAGCCATCTCAATTGTCTCTGTAGGTTTCCCCATCATGATCTTGACTCCTCTTGCTCATATAATCCCTCTTCCCTCTCTTCAACCAGACTCCCAGAGCTCAGCCTGGTGTTTGGTTGTGGATCTCTGCATCTGCTTCCATCAGTTACTGGATGACAGTTTAGGGTATTCACCAATCTGATTTCCAGGGTAGGCCAGTTCAGGCACCCTCTCCACTACTGCTAGTAGTCTAATCTGGGGTCATCCTTGTGGATTCCTGGGAATTTCCCTAGCACCAGGTTTCTCCCTTACCCGATAATGTCTCCCTCTATCAAGGTATCTCTTTCATTGCTCTCCCACTTCATCCCTCCCCCAGCTTAACCATCCCATTCCCTCATGTTCTCATCCCCTGTCCCCTCTTCTTTATTGCCCCCCATCCCCACTACTCATGGAGATCTCCTCTGTTTCCCCTTCCCAAGGTGATCCATGCATCCCTCTTAGGGTCCTCCTTCCTAGCTTCTCTGGAGCTGTGGGTTGTAGTCTGATTATCCTTTACTTTACAACTACTATCCACTTATGAGTGAGTACATACCAGGTTTGTCTTTCTGAGTCTGGGTTACCTCATTCCAGATGATATTTTCTAGTTCCATCCATTTGCCTGCAAATTTCATGATGTCATTGTTTTTTATAGCTGAGTAATACTCCATTGTGTAAATGTACCACATTTTCTTTATCCATTCTTCAGTTGAGGGCATCTAGGTTGTCTCCAGGTTCTAGATGTTATGAATAATGCTACTATGAACAAAGAATAAATAAGAAATATTATTTAAGAACTTGTTGCTTTCATACAACAATAAACTATTTCATAGTTTTCTGCTTTTGTCATATTCCTAGCAAAGTCACCCTCAAAGGGGTGTTTTATGTGTTGATTTTTAGTGTGAGCGCAGTTTCCTGGATGACTATCTTTAAATTCTTCATAGTACCTCCTAGGATCCAAAGTACAGAAGTACACTACACAGTCAATGAGAACTCCCAAGCTGTTCTTCCGTGTGTTGCTGATGGAATCCCCACACCTGCAATTCGCTGGGAAAAAGACAGTGTTCTTATAGCCAACTTGTTAGGGAAATACACTGCCCAGCCATATGGAGAGCTCATCTTGGAAAACGCTGTGGTAAGTTTAATGGATGTGAATACATGCAATAGAGCCAAGTGATTAATTTACCTCCTTCTTTTTCTCAATTTAGCTCAGAAGTTTTTCCTTTAATACTGAAAGGAAATGCACCTATAAATTCAACATAAGACTAATTTTTCTTACATTTTGTCTTATATCCTTAAAATAAGAAGTGTATTTAACAAAAGAACTGAAACCAATAAGTGGCCTTCTCCTAAAATGATTGTTTTGTTTTTGTGGGAAAATTCTAAGTGGTTGTGCTGTTCTTGGTGCTTATAACTGTGTCAAGAGGATGTGACAGTAGACACTCCTGTAGATGTCTGAGGTATGATGAAGAAAATGCCAAGAAAGGGTTTTTAAATAACCTTTTCTAATAATTGACTTACAAAATGGAAATTCTATGGAGCTATGCAAATAAGATGTTTAATGCCCTCGGCATCCTGTTTGGGGTCTCTAGAACAGTAGCCATTATTCGGAAAAAACTTGACCTCCAGTATGGTTGTACTCAAGAAATCTGCTCTTGGATGCAATCACTCTTGGAGGCCTGGAGGGAAAAAGGTTTAAAACCTATGAGACAGTGCCTCAGATACATTGAAAGGACCCCATCAATAAGGCATCTTATACATAGCGGATGGGAGACTTGAGTAATATGTGGAATTCTTTTTCGAAATGATATACAAGAACTAGATGTTTTAATACTTTATTTCCATAATCACAGATTTTTAACTTTAATTCACACAACCTGGGACAGTTTGTGGTATGTGTTAAGTTTTCATTGAAAAAAAAAAGGCATGCAACCAAACTTCAACTGTTTCTATACTGAATGATGATAAATATTTTATTTCTAATTCTTTGGTATAAAATCTTAATATTTTAGACCACAGTAAAATAATCAGTAATATTTACATAACCTCAGTCCATTTAGAAACATTCAACCAACTCATCTCATATTTATTAAGCACCTTCTCTTTGAGCAACTTGGTTTATTTAGGCACTGAGAAACATCAAGGAACTTAAGTGAGAATGAGCTAGGTACGTTTGAGAAACTGGCAGCCAGTAAAAACATGAGAAAAGGAATCAGAGAAAAATGGAGGCCACACCAGGTACCATCGTGGAGATAATGAACAAGGATTCTTCCTACTCATAGTGAAAGTCAGAATTCCTTTCAGGTTCCAGTAAGTGAATGATATTATTTCCTCTATGTTTCTCAAGAATTAGACTCAGTCATTGTCTTGATCAGAGTTACTATTGCTGTGATGAAACACCATGACCAAAGCACACTGAGGAGCGTTTATTTGGCTTATGCTTCCACATCACTGTTCATCTTCCAAGGAAGTCAATACAGGAACTCAAGCAGGACCAGAATCTGGAGGCAGGAGCTGATGCAGAGGCTGTGGAGGGGAGCTGCTTACTTGGCTCCCTCACCATAACTTGCTCAGACTGCTTGCTTATAGAATCCAAGACCACCAGGCCGGGATTGGCACCACTGGAATAGGCTCATCCCTCCCCCAGCCAATTCCTAATTAAGAAAATGCTCTACATCTGGATCTTCTGTGGCATTTTCTCAATTGAGATCCCCCCCTTTCAGAGGACTCTAGCTTGTGTCAAGTTGACAGAAAGCTAGCCAGCACAGCCATCATGATGAAAAGGAACAGTAAGGATGCAGGGTTAGAAGCAGAAAGATGTGGGGAAGAGGGTCAGAAGTCAGATGGCAGAACTCATCGCTGAGTGTTAGCAGAGTGAGAAGTTTGGGTTCCACACATGCTTTGAAATCAACACATCAGGAGAGATTTTCGTTGGTGTGGAAGAAGGTGAAAACCAAGGAGGACCCAAACACACGAGTCTACAAGTCTAAGCCACAGGAAGCTAAAACAGCCTTCAGGGAAAACGCAAATGGCTGTAAGTGACAAGAAAGGGAGCAATGTCAGTTCCCTGGTCTCTCCCATTGCACCTGCGGCCATCCGATATCCACTAGTTGTCCAAGCAGAAGTCAGAACAAATTCACTGTTTATTAGAATTTTTGAAATAAAATCTGGGTTTGAGACACTGGGAATTGCCAGCATGTAAGTGGTGTTTAAAGCCACGATACTAGATGAGATCCTCAAGGGTCTGGGTGCAGAAAGAGACTAGAAGAGGATTAAAGACTGAGTCCCTCAGAAGTCAATGTGAAGGCATTGATGTTGAGGGGAAACCACAACAATGGATGGAGAGAGTGTTAGCTGGGAAGCTATCAGTGATACCCAAGTGAAGGCACTCAAACTTGGATTCAGTACTGCCAGTATGTCAAGTACAGTGAGTGATGAAGTTGACCATGGGACTCAGCAAGGGAGGCTCCAGAATTACAGGGAACATTGGCCTTCATCCCACCATGTCCTCAGATGGTTTGGGTCTCTGATCATATCACCCAGAAGGCCCACTGTGTTGTCAAGATGCCAACAACCTTAGAAGTTCTTTGCCCTTCAGAACATTGCAGAACAGCAGACCTTGTGGTGTATTCTTCCTCCCTCCCCGCCCCCCCACCCCACCGCCTCCCCCCCCCTGGAGCTGAGGACCAAACCCAGGGCCTTGCGCTTGCTAGGCAAGCCCTCTACCACTGAGCTAAATCCTCAACCTCCCTGTGGTGTTTCCTAAGATCTTATGACATGGTTGTTCTAGTTCTGTGTGGCATGGGCTTTATGCTTAAACCCATACATTTTAAATCACAGGATGCAAAAATCTAACTTGATGGTTTATACTGAAAGATGGAAATTTAAATTGCCATTAGGTAAATGTGCTCCTTGGGGAACAAGTGCTGAAATTTTGTGTAGGAGGTTGTAATATATTAACACTTGGAAAAACTTTTGTTTATTTAGCTGGAGGATTCTGGTACCTACACATGCGTGGCTAACAATGTTGCTGGTGAAGACACACGTACTGTGACACTGACGGTTCATTCCCTTCCCACTTTTACTGAACTTCCTGGAGACCTGTCATTAAATAAAGGCGAACAGCTGAGGTTAAGTTGTAAAGCCACTGGCGTCCCATTGCCCAAACTAACATGGACCTTCAACAACAATATTATTCCAGGTTGGTGATTTAATTCTTCATAGTTGAATGTTTGCATCCATTCAGCAGTGTGGTCCAGTCTCTACATCCTCTTAGAGGTCACTGAGGAGTCACAGGTACAGAGTTGACTCTTTCTGTCCTGTGACATGGTTGGAAGTTGTTAAACACCTGCAATCCCTACACTTGAGAGGTAGAGGCAGGAAAATCAGGAGTTCAAGGTCATCTTCAGCTACTTGGTGAGCTAGAGGCCAGCCTGTGCTATAGGAGATGTTATCACTAAATAAAGCAAATAAATAGAGCAAAAAAAAAAGCAAATAGATTCTGTAAAATTATATGCTTTTTCTCAGCACAGATGCACTGCTCATTCTTTTGAAAAGATAATTGGATCACAAGACTATATATTCTGTGATACAAGCTAAACTTTTGACAACAACAACAAAACTCTCTCCCCAAAAGGAGACAATATTGAATCTTAGGCATCTAAACTTGATTCTGACGGACCCCCTGACATGCTTATCAGCAAGTTATGAAGTTGCTGCTACAGACTTACGAATGCACTATTTAAAAAAAAAAAAAATTGAAGACAGGGTTTCTCTGTGTAGGCCTAGCTGTCCTGGAACTCCTCTGTAGGCCATACTGGCCTCGAACTCACAGAGATCCCCCTGCCTCTGCCTCCCGAGTGCTGGGATTAAAGGCGTGCGCCACCACTGCCCGGCTCACAATTCACTTATCTTACAGAACACAGTACTTCTCACTGGGTGAATAAACCTCAGAAAAGAAGAGGTTAGTTGACGCGGCAAATGTCTAGCCACCGTGTATTCTGAGTGTTAAGTTAGAGCCTAACCCCACAACACTCATCCCTGGAAGACACATGTCTATTTACTTGTGTGGGTTATTTTATTTTATTTTTGAGATTACAGTATAATTACATCATTTCTCCCCTCACTTTCCTCCCTCTAAATCCTCCCCTAGACCTCTTCTTGTTCTCTTTCAAATTCATACTTTCTTTTCATTGCTGTTACTTGTTTGATTTCATCACAGAAGATGCTATCAATAATGAGTATAAAGATACTATCAGTAATGAGTGGTTGGCCAGTCCTCAGAGTTCGGACTTGCATCTACCAAATACCTTACTAGAGGAGCAGTAACAGCTTGAGATTTTTCTGTGATAATGAGTTGTGTGAATGATTGAAATTCATCAACTGTATCATCTTCGTAATAACATATACCTTGATAAAGGAAAGCAGTGTCTAAAAATCAGAACTCCTTTCTAAAGGCAAATGCTAATTCTGGTGTTTACATTTGTGAGCTTAATTGCTGCTTAATATGGTTGAATGAGCTCTTTAAAAGTAAGTGAGAGAATGCATACAAAGTAGCCATACATAATCAGGCGGCAGTATATTTAGTATTAGTTGTTTTAAGATGAGCATGCTCATATTAAGTTCTCATCTGAAGCCGGGCGGTGGTGGCGCACGCCTTTAATCCCAGCACTCGGGAGGCAGAGCCAGGTGGATCTCTGTGAGTTCGAGGCCAGCCTGGGCT